TCCATTGTGTAGCTCTTGGTTTATTTTCCTCTGCTAACCTAACCATAAATAGTTGAGAAATTTATTTTCGAAATCTGTCCAAATTTTAAAACTAGTCTTCTTTGCTTTCATACCATAATGCTGCTCCTTCTTTCAGATGGTTTCTAATAGTTTCTTTGCAATCGTCAACATATCTGACATGTTGCAATTTGGTTTTCAAATTTTTAACAAACAGTACTGGGTGTGTTTTTCTAATATCCCGCCAAATTTTATTTCGCCTTGCTTGTTCCATAGGTAAACATTTCCCTTTTTTCCCCGAATTTTGTTCCTTCTTGATTTTCTCCATTTTTCTTTCTATTTCTCGCATGTCTTCTTGTAACGCGTTTTCAATTTTTGTTTCAAATTTTTCTAATTTCTTTTTCTGGACAGTCTTATTATTTATCATTTTAGTTTCTATTTCTTCTCTCTGCATCTCTAGTTTCCTCTCTGTTTCTTCTCTAACTTTTTCTTCATTTTCATATTTGTCCAAACGCTTTTTCCATTTTCCTATCATTTTCTTCTAATTTCTGTTCTATTGCTTGTCTTGTTTCCCGTTGGTTTTCTTCCATTTTTAGTGATGTTTCTTTTTGGTTTTTCGCTGCTATTTCATTTATTATTTGTTTTTGTCTTTTCTTGGTTTCTATCCATTTTCTTTGATGTTTCATTTATTGTTTGTGAAAATTCATTCATTTTTCGTAACGTTTCTTTGTGGATTTTATTCATTTTCTCGTAATGGAGTTGAGTTGCATTAGTTGTAATATTTTAACTATTTCTGATGATTTATTTCTCTCCTTAATTATTGTAACATTTCCTTCGTTATCCGATCCTTCTTCAACAATTGTTTCCTCTTCTCTGTTATCCTTCTTCCTTTCTTGCATTTTGCTCTGACTTTTTGTGGTCGACATGTTGTTTCTTTTTGTTACTGTTTTTGTCCCCGCCAAATGTGAAATTTTACAACACTCTATATGTTGCAGAACACGACAAATATTTCTCCCCAATTGTAATAAATTTTCACGACAAATATCAAATATGCAATCAGTAAAATTCAAATAATTCAAAATAAATATCAAATGTACGATTGGTAAAGAAAATAAAAATCAAATAATTCAATAGCAGTAAATATCAACTAACTACGATCAATCAATAAATCAAATTTTTATCCACTGGAAAAATTGTCAAAAAACTTTCAAATTCAAATTCCCTCAATGTTATATGTTTTTATCTCTGGATCACCTGTATTTATTCCAGATCTCTTTCCCTTCCTTCAAATGTAAAGCTGCGATATTTTCAAGCCCCACGTTTTGGAAGCCAGTTATTGTGATATTTAAAGTCTTGGTGCGCCAAGCAGTTAATTAGCTAATTAATTAATTAATTAATTAAAATTATTTAAATGCTATGATTATGACTCCATCACACTTTTTAATTCTCTTATCTCAGGGTTAAATTCGTGCTTCAATATCTATGCTATTACATGTGAAAGGTAAAGTCCAAAGAATACCGGAATAATAAAAAAAAACATATAGGATCTAACGGTATATATTGAAAAAAATTAATGAAATAAAATTCACACTCAAATGTTTTCAATAAACAAAATCTCATATAATGATTCTCAAAATTTTGTTCTACGTACGTGAACCTTCAAAATTATTCTAAATCTCCTAATCAAAATATTTATATCCTTTTTTAATTAAGTGTAAAAAAATTTGTGTTATCAATGAAAGAAAAAAACTGCAGAAAACAAACTATCTCTCTCTGATGCTGAGTGGTCCAAATCCTTGTTCCTTGTAGACTATACTATTTACTCGTAGCCGCTCCCTAGGTAATCAGCAATCTTACAACAAATTATTGCAAGTTTATCGTCCTGAATCTCTCGTTGGCCTGAACAGTGACTCTTGGAATATAAATAGAAAAATATAACTTACAGTCTTTTACTGGATCAGCTTCTGTCAGATACACTAACTACACGAAAACTCACAAACTTTTACTGCTACTGCCTCCTACCTCTGGGAAACTACCCGAGAAAAACGGCCGTTCGCCTTTTACCCTTGGAAACCAACTGACTATTTTTTTTTCTTCCGAAACTAACTAACGTCTCATTCTCAAACCAATTATCCCACCTTTTTCAATTTCATCCAATCAAAACGCGTCATCCATCCCCATTTCTTCATTTCGATAACAAACAAATTTTTACCTATAATTATAAAATTTCCTAAAACTTATTTACAAATAATAATATTTTTCTACAATTCTTAAAAACTAACAAAAACCTATCTTTCTAAAATCTATTCTATTTTCCTAATCAACTGCATTAATGTATTTGGAAAACCCGGTTCAATTATCTTTCACTTAAGCTTATTCACGTCATACAAATATATTTTAACAAAGAAAATAATTTATGCATAGCTTACGTTTTGTTTAATACAGGTAATCCAAAATTAAAAGACTTTCATTCTTCGAAATGTTTGTAGTTTATTGTTTGACTTATCTGAATTATTTTATTGTTTTGAACTTTGAAATATTTTTAAACAAACCGACATTTTCTTGATTTTACATATCATAACAATATCTTCTTCAGCCTGTGTTCGTCCACTGCTGGACATAGGCCTCTTCCATTTGCTTCCATCGATTTCTACTTTTAACAATTCTCATCCACTGCTTGCCCGCGACTTGTTTGATATCGTCTGTCCACCTCTTCTGCGGTCTGCCTACTCCTCGCCTGTTCTCTCTTGGTCTCCGGTTTGTTAATCTTTGTGTCCATTTTTCGGGATTATCTCCAGCAACGTGTCCAACCCATTGCCACTTGAGCCTTGCAATACGTTCTGAGACATCAGTAATTTTTGTTCTTTCACGAATGACGTTATTTCGAATCCTGTCTCTCAAACTAATCCCTAGCAATGCCCTCTCCATTGCTCTTTGGGTTGTACTGAGCTGCTCTAAGGTTTTCTTTGTGAAGGTCATGGTCTCCAGTCCATATGTAGTTACAGGCAAGATACATTTGTCATAAACTCTACGTTTTAGACACATTGGTATATCTTTATTCTTCAAAATAAAGCTTAATTTGCCGAAAGCTCCCCAAGACAGTTGTATGCGTCTTTTTATTTCGGCTATTTGATTTTCTTTGCCGATTTTAATGGTATGTCCAAGATATATATAGTGGTCTACATTTTCAAGACTGACGTTGTCAATATATATATATATATATATATATATATATATATATATATATATATATATATTAAGGATCACTCAGATGAGTGGTGGTTTCTTTTTGGTCAAAAAGTGGAGAAAAAAGATGAAGATGATGGCTACTAAATGAATTCAATAACTTTCACCAAAAATTCAAATTCACAGAAATTGAAAAAAAATTGTCAAAATAATTTTCTAGATCTGACCTTACATGGAGAAAACAGTATACCTACTTCGTGGTACACCAAAAAAACCTGGTCGTCGAGAGATCTGAATTTCAATTCCCATCATCCCTTTTCTCAAAAGAAATCTATAGTTATTGGACACGCTAATGGAGCTATTAGATTATCCGATAATATCAATAGACCTCAGGCCATTAAAAAAGAAAAAACAGCACTAACACTTAATTCATACCCACAACACCTTATCGACAACACATTCAAATCGCGACTGCATAAATTTTACAATTATTATACATTATACAGTATACCTACATATAATTATATAACATTAACAACAATTAAACCAACACGGTAAAGAAAAACTATATGTCTCTCCCCTATATAAAAGGGTTAAGAACAAATTGCAAATCTTCTGTGTAAACACAACATTACGGTTGCTCATAAAGGGCACAATCTTTTGAAAAAGAATTTTACAAAATTAAAAACAAAAACCACTATATTAAAAAAATTGCATCTTGTGTATGAAATTCGCTGCTCGAATTGTGATAGAGTATATATTGGACAAACCAGTCAGCTACTTAACTCAAGAATACGTTTCCACTAATATGACAAAAAAAAAACTCAACCGCCGCGCCGTCACAAAACATGAGAACGAAAAGAAACAAATGTTATTTTGACAAAACCAAAATCCTAAAAAGTGAACGTAACAGGAAGAAGAGGGAGCACCTAGAGTATATACAAATCAAAAAGAATAATACTGCAATAAATGATAAAAAAAAATGTCAAAAATTTAAAAACGTTATCTTTAAATTTAATTTAAAAACACACAAAAAGATAATCTCAGAACTATGATAATAAAATAAATTATTATTTAAACGATAAACTAACATAAATAAACAACATATTAAAACTAAAATACGTTTTACATGTAGTGACTTAGTGAGTCTGTCCTAGGCTTTTAATATTATTTAAATTGTGACGTATATGTATACTTCTTAGCACCGAATTTTTACAAGCTTGGTAAGTCAGTTTCACTTTTAAACCGTATTATGTCTAATAAAATGTTGTTTTAGTCAATATTACTACTTGAAAAACGCAGGGATTTCCTGCCAAAACGTCGAAAAAAAAATATGTATTAAATTTTTTCATGAACCTAGCCCAAGAACATCCACTAATATATATATATAATATATATATATTATAATATATATATATATATATATATATATATATATATATATATATATATATATATAAATATCATACATATTATCATGCACATGACATTTCCTGATTATGTGGTAATATTAAAGATAAATCAAGCAGTTATATGGAAAAAATAAAGATTTAAAATAACTTTAATTGCAAGTAAAGTTAGGGACAATTTGTATTTAAGAAACCTATTGTCAATAATAATAATAATAATAAATGTATTAACTTAAAAATATAATTGTATAGTAAAACATATTCAAAACGTTTTATGGTCGTATTCTGAATATTGACCGAAAACATGCTTATTATTAATTTAAAGAATACCAAAATCAAAAATTTTGCTTAATTATATGATAATTTTTAATTGCTTGAAACAAAATATCATTTTTTTTATTTACATACCTAGAATTACAATAAAACACGTTAATAGTAAAAACTTCATTCTGAATGTTAAATGGTTCTCAGAGTATAATAATGAGACAAATTGTTGTTTTGCTTACTTATAATATTTAGTTACCATGATGCGCCTAACGATTACAATGTTGCCAGAGGACTTCTAGATTATTATCTACACTTTGTCCGTCTATTTTTTATTTTATTTCACCGCATTAGAATTTAGCTTCTTAGCCATATATTTTAGTTCAAAGCCTTATAATGGTGATTTTTATACTCACACCTAACAAAATCTGACAAGAAAAGCAAAGTTTCTGAAGCCAATAAGTCTGATATCTTAGAGACTACGTACTAGAAACTAGAAAAACTGCTCGTACAATGTATTAGAGATTGTTAAAAATCATTCTTTTAATGACGAATTTTAAATTCTTTATATTCGAAATAAAGGCCTTAAGCTACCTTTATTAGAAGATATGGAAATTAACAAAGTAAAAAACAGCAACATAATCCTAAATGACCAACAGTTCTCCTCCCCCCCCCCAAACTGTTCATTCGGTTCTAAATTCATTCAGTTCTTCCAAAAGAAATAAAATCAACACAAAGAACATCATGACATCGATGGAAGAATGGAAAGACACTCTTCAATCTCTCAAAATTTTGGAAACAAAGTTTTTAGTGTTTTATTGTTAAATTAATAATGATATCAATGTCAGGTTGAATGTTCGAATAATTAAACTATGATAGTATACAAGGCAAGTCAAACACAGTGATTAATTAAATCTTGCCCAAGTACCTTCGATCAATAGATCATCTTCAGGGGCATCTGAAATAAGCCAAGAAACGTTTTTTTATTAGAAGGAAAATTAATTCACTTGGATAAAAAACTCCAAGTTTACGGTTGAAAAAAGTTTTTATGTGATAAACGTTTATAGACTTACTTCGTCAGTTGTGGCCTATCCGACATGAGTAGAATGTCATAAATGTAAATTTGGACATAACAATACAATACACAAAGACAAACAAACACTTTAAAAATTTTAAAAGGAGAAGCTCCATGTTATAAAGAAGCCGGAGACAGAATGGGCTCCCGGTCTTGCGGAAACATTGAGATGACATATGAAAAATGACAGCTTGTAAAGGAGAGTTATGTGATCTGCACCTTTTAAAATTCTATAAAACTAAGTATTGACCAAAGGTCCAACTGACACCACTATAGGAAATCAACTGATGAAATATAAAATTAGTATATTTTTATGTAGATTGAATAATCCAAATCTCACACTCAAACCTGTCTATAATAATTAGGATGTTAGTTTGAGAGCGATTGAAGTTGACATAAAGTATGAATGTAAGAAAAGACTAAACAATATATTAGACAGTGGATGGTTGACTACAATAAAATGGTCCACCAAGTGCTATCAGTACTGTAAAAAAGGAAAAATCTGAATATGCAGTTAAATTACTAAAAGTTAAAATCAATATTGAATTCAAAATATATAAATGTGTTATAATCCAAGTAGTTCAGTTGAATCCACATTCAATGGAAGAACTTTAAAATTAATATTGAAATGCTCAGTGCATGAAGTCTAAACAGTCGAGCTGGGTCTTCTATGAGGTGAAGCCGTAATAAAGTTTTTAAATATAGGATTAAATTTAGTACAATTTAAATTAATTTGAGTATTAAGACAGTAAGAGTTTTCATTTGTTTCCCTTGTAATCTCCAAATCTTCCAATAAATCCAACTCAAGATAGTTTTTCTTTCTACTAATATCATGTAAAATAGATGAACCAGAATTAATGTTAAAATTATGGTTGCTGGATACTAAGTGTTGACCAAAACTTGAAGAAGAATTTGGTCTTTTCAAATGTTCAGAGACTCTAGTGGATAACTTTCTGATGGTTCTACCTACATAAGAGGCATCACAATCATCACATTTTAATTTGTAAATACCACTTTTATCAAGTGTATTCATTCTATATATCTGATGTTATCTGAAGCATTAGGTTGAAAAAACTGTGATGAATATGCAAGCTTTTCTGCAATTTTTAGTTTAGCTCTATTTAGAAGTTTGTACATAATGTTAGGATCATAGCCATTAACAAACTTCTGTTCCATTATCACCTTTTCTAGCTGATATTTTCTTAGACAGCTTAGAACAAAAGTTTGTTAATAACAACAACAAAATAGTTTTTTGATCAAGATATGTGGATGATTGTATAGCTCTCATACAGGGAACCCAAGATGATGCTTTACAGATTCTGGATGATCTCAATAACCTCCATCCTAACATCTCTTTTACTCTGGAACCAGAATCTGACAATAAGTTGAACTTTTTGGATATGACTATTTCCCGTAATAAAGATTCTTTAGAGCACAACATTTATAGAAAGCCCACCCACCCAAACAGATCACGTTATACATGGAACGTCTAATCACCCAACTCAACATAAGATGGCTGCTTTCAACAGTTACATTAATCGGTTACTTAAATTTCCTCTTTCTGATGATAAATTTAATACAGAACTTAATACTATTAAGCAGATTGCTTTTAATAATGGCTGTGATCCTAACATTATATACAAACTTCTAAATAGAACTAAACTAAAAATTGCAGAAAAGCTTGCATATTCATCACAGTTTTTTTAACCTAATGCTTCAGATAACATCAGATATTTCTCCTTCACTTATATTAGTAGCATTTCTAATAAAATATCTAAACTTTTTACTTCTACAATTGATAACATCAAAATTTCCTTTAAAGCACATAACACTTTAGGTTCCTTCTTAATCAATACCAAAGAAAGGATGAATACACTTGATAAAAGTGGTATTTACAAATTAAAATGTGATGATTGTGATGCCTCTTATGTAGGTAAAACCATCAGAAAGTTATCCACTAGAGTCTCTGAACATTTGTAAAGACCAAATTCTTCTTCAAGTTTTGGTCAAGACTTAGTATCCAGCAACCATAATTTTAACATCAATTCTGGTTCATCTATCTTACATGATATTAGTAGAAAGTACTCAAATTAATTTAAATTGTACTAAATTTAATCCTATATTTAAAAACTTTATTACAGCTTCACCTCGTAGAAGACCCAGCTCGACTGTTTAGACTTCATGCACTGAGCATTTCAATATTAATTTTAAAGTTATTCCATTGACTGTGGATTTAACTGAACTACTTGGATTATAACACATTTATATATTTTGCTTTCAATATGGATTTTAACTTTTAGTAATTTAACTGCGTATTCAGATTTTTCCTTTTTTACAGTACTGATAGCGCTTGGTGGACCATTTTATTGTAGTCAACCATCCACTGTCTAATATATTGTTTAGTCTTTTCTTACATTCATACTTTATGTCAACTTCAATCGCTCTCAAACTAACATCCTAATTATTATAGACAGGTTTGAGTGTGAGATTTGGATTATTCAATCTACATAAAAATATACTAATTTTATATTTTATCAGTTGATTTCCTATAGTGGTGTCAGTTGGACTTTTGGTCAATACTTAGTTTCATATAATTTTGAAAGGTGCAGATCACATAACTGTCCTTTACAAGCTGTCATTTGTCATATGCCATCTCAATATTTCCGCAAGATCGGGAGCCCATTCTGTCTCCGGCTTCTTTATAACATGTAGCTTCTCCTTTTAAAATTTTTAAAGTATTTGTTTGTCTTTGTGTATTGTATTGTTATGTCCAAATTTACATTTAAGACATTCTTCTCATGTCGGATAAGCCACAACTGACGAAGTAAGTCTATAAACGTTTATCACATAAAACTTTTATCAACCTTAAACTTGGAGTTTTTTATCCAAGTGAATTAATTTTCCTTCTAATAAAAAAACGTTTCTTGGCTTATTTTAGATGCCCCTGAAGATGAGCTATTGATCGAAAGTACTTGGGCAAGATTTAATTAATCACTGTGTTCGATAGTTGCCTTGTATACTATCAAAGTTTAATATTGATATGTTTGATATTTTATTTGGTTCTCTATTTCTTTTTAAGTTTATTCTATCTTTATATTTTCAAGACCCTTCCATTACAAAAATGGACTGAGACAGGTAGATGAGAGACTGTCGTGTCTCTTATTTAACCTTGCGCTAGAAAAGTAAGTAGAGAGTGCCATATTAATACGAATGGCACCATCTTTAATGAATCTGTGCAAGTGATCAGATATGCAGATGACATAGACATTATCGTTTGGTTCACAGAATCTCTGATCGAAGCATTTCGATCATTAAGGGCGTCTGCACTGAGAATGGGATTAAAAATAAATGCACAGAAAACCAAGCATATGTATTGTACTAGATCGGGCAACCAGATACCTAGACTATTAATTGATGATCTGGAACTGGAAGGTGTGGCCCACCTTTATCTACCCACAACAATGTCAGCAAAGAAATTTAAAAAAGAATAGTGCTTGATAATAAGTGCTATTGTGACTTGAGGAAACAGATGGATCCAAAACTACCCAAAAAAATTAGAATTACCATATATAAAACACTAATCAGGCCAGTGTTCACATATGGGTCAGAAATGTGGTTACTTACACAGAACGACCAAAAACTGCTTAAACGTTTCGTAAGAAAAATTCTAAGAAAAATATATAAAAGAGGGTTTGTGGCGAAGGCGCTACAACTTTGAGTTATACAGGAGTTTTGGGGAACCTGACGTTGTAAAATGTATTACATTTTCACGCCTTCGATGAAGAGGACATGTAATTAGGCAAGATGAAGATATAACGATCAGAAAAATTTTCGACCGAAGAGGACCAGGAAGAAGACGATCCAGAGGAAGACTAAAACTTATGTATCAAGATAACATAGGGGATAATCTAAAATCCATCGGAGTTAAAGCATGGAGAAGAGTTGAATGAGACAGTGGCGAATGGAAGATTGTTCTGAAGAAGGCTTTGGCTCAAAATGAACTGTAATGCCATTGATGATGATGATGATGTTCATATTTCTAGTTTTTAAAAACTCATCAAAGATAACTCCTTTGTTTTCTAATATAATCTTTTATATTACTCAAAGTTCGTTTAGAGCATTTAGATAAGGAAG